CCTTATTATTAATATTTGATTGATTTGGGCGTACTATCTGGTACATAAGTTCTGTTATAACTTTATATTTAAACAGGAGGAAAAGTGCAAGTGAAAAATGTTTATTCGTAAAAATATCAGCATACGCACTTCACCTACAACCGCTACTTTGAGTTGTTAAAATATTGGTTTAAAAGTTGTAATCGACTAGTTGGTATTAATGATTTTCCTAATAGTTCATCGTCTTCTTCTTCTTTTTCCTCGCCTTAATCCCAACTACTTGGGGTCGGCCACCCTTATCCTAAATTTCCTATTGACACGACTCCCACATCATTTACGCTCACATCAGCCGTCTTCATATCGCATTCAATTACATCCTTCCATCTCTTTTCCTTCAACATTTACATCTATAATGGTTCTTACAGCTTCCGATTCCTCTCTTCTCATAACATGATCAAATTATCTAAGTCTATTTTCTTTCATCTTATATACGCTACACCTATACTCGCTCTTATATGCTCGTTCCTTATCCTATCTTCTCTAGTCACTCCACTCTATTTTCCTAATAAAGTATTTTCTAATAAATAAATGGATTAAATACGAATGTTCTCTTTAAAAAAAAAACTGCGACAACCTTATTAAACACTTCATAATTGATAAGTTAAGAATAAAACACTAAAATAAAAGAAACCAATAAAATATTCAAAATATTATTTTTAATTTTTCGATTAAAAAAGTGGTTAGTGATATAAAAATTAATCTGAATAAGCAACATCATATGGATTAAATGATAAAATACCACTAACACTTTTCATAAATTTTTTATAACTATTAATTCCATTAAATTTACCATACAGAAAAAAGTTTCCAATAAAATCCTTTTTTGGACAATTGCTTTTGGCAAAGTATCAACAGGCACATTTTTAAAGGGAATAAAGGAAGCAGCGATATAGCTTAGTAAAACGCAAAACAACAGGTGATGCCCAACTGGCCTTTGAGCAATAAATTAACTGACCATTTATCCCTACACAAAATGTTTTTATCAAAACAGATTTTATTATTTGACCATTTATATACCTTTTTTAGACGATACACCATTTTCTCGTGGTCTACCTTTTTTGTTATTCATTAAACGTTTGTATGACAAATGTTAGACTATTTGAGCTGTTAAACTTAAATAAAGTATAAGCTAATTCATTATTTGTTTTGTTTATATTTACAATTAAAATTTGACTTCTTGATAAAATCAATATCACTTAATTATAATTAAATTAATTAATTTTATTTTTGTAGGTAGATATTACAATTTAATAGATCAAAAATTTAAAAACTTTTAAATTTTTTTGAAGTCCAAACTTATTTAACAATCAAATTGAAGTAGTTAATTATTTCATTGTAAAATACACAATGAAACTGTTTAGAAAAAAATCATTTTCTAGTAATCGTTTTTATAAAAAAATTAAACACGAAATCATTTTTAATTTCAATCTTACCTATTTAAAATAATAACAATAAAAAAGGGTAACATACTTGATTATACCACATAAATATATTAGAATAAATAAAATTGTGTTGAGTTATTATTTAATAATCCATTTAAATTATTATAAGATATAGTAAAACTAGAATATTATTCAGTGTAATAGTTTTCTTTAGTATCTGCTTAATACATAAATCCTAGAAAAAAGTCATTGTTTGGTGGTATTTCACCGATCACTTTTTCAAACCTACTTTTTTGCTAGGTCTTTAATATTTTAATTTGAATAATTCTTTCCAAAAACATCATTATTATTTGATAGTTTTGTGTCATAATATTCTTCATATGATAATTTTTTTTAAATTTTTTTGACTTAAACAACGAATCATAAAAATAGTTCGTCTGAGAAATATAGATAATGTATATTTTACAACGTTCTCATAAAACTGAAATCTTATTCTGTTAATTGGACTTTTTTTTTTGACAGTTGGCAATTAAACTTTTCCATTTAATATTTAAAAAAAAACTGATATTATATTTAACAGTAAATTTTTTTAATTATTTAAAATAATGCATTTAAATTTTGTCACAGTTTTTGAATCTCCACATATTGCTTTATTATTAATTTCCATACTTTCATTGTTAAAAAAATTAAAATTTGCATCACGCCGGGTTTGGTTTATGAATTTTTGAACATAAAAATAATTGATTAACTAAGATATATGCAGTAATTTTTCTCTTGCTATATTTTCGATTTCATCATATTCTAATGAAACGTCTCTTGTTAAATCAAACTTGACTGGTTTTTGAAATCGATTTTGAAAAACGACCGGTGTTGATTTCAGTTTTAGAACCTAGTTTTGGGTCATTTTTAAATTTAAAAAAGTAGTAAAAAGTGATATAGAGAACTGGTCAACATTTTATTTTAACTATTTTCCATTTAATATTAAAAAAATAATGATAGATTTCCATTTAAATTTTGAAAGTTACTTATAAAATCTACCCTACTAAATAATTTTTTCTTATATTAACTTGATAATTACTATGTTCATAACAATAAATCATAGTTTAATCTGTACATTTAAATTAAAAAAATCATATTAAACGAAACAATGGGAAATGGTATTAATAAATCACACTGTATAGATGAATATTATATTTAGATATAAATCATGCAATTGTAACTTCATATTAATTGATTTTTTTATTAAACTAAAATAGAATAAATAAAATGTTACCAATATAATTAACTTATATACATATTTATGTAAACTAATAATCATGAAAATCATTTTTAATAATTTAATGTTCAATAAGGTATAATTATCTTGAAAATGACTTCTCAATCATTTTTTTCTGTACTATGTATTTACAACAATTTTCTAAAATTTTAAGCAACTAAAATCATTATTCCGATATCACTAGTATTGTTTTCGCTTTATTAACTAACTGGCATTCAAAATGAATTTTTGGTTGATGGTGGTGTAAATTACACTAAAGGAATCTGCACATTTAATAATAATTATTTTCACGTTCACTATTCACTTTCAATTTCAACATCGATGTTAGTTAATTCCTTAATTTTCCAACTCATCAACCGTTATCCAAGTGCACCCTAATAGAATAAACGCCACCATTCTTCAGTGTCGAATCATTAGACAATAACATTGTAATGTAAAGCAAAATTACCATACAAGAAATATATAATTAGGATAATTTTATACGCATATTAATATTTATGAATGAATTTTCTTTTAAGTAAACCTTTCATAGAAAACAATATATATTCTACAAAAAAAAGATAATAAATTAATTTTATAATAATATATTTTTGGTTGGTAATGTAATATCAATAACAAAAAAATTAATTTTCTGTAATTCGGTATTTTGTGCAAATGTTTCAAGCGGTCTTGAAATAAATTATAGTTATATTTAAAAGTTATTAAAGATATACAATTTCCGATATACTTGTTGATACTTAAAAATAATACCACAAAATGATCATGTAGTTTTTCAATCTTTATATCAAAATAAATATAAGAACTAATCAATTATGATTAATGTTATTATAATTAAAAATGTAAAATTCAACATTAAACGTTTTAATGTTTTTTTTTTAAAATAAAAACTACATAATAATATAATTGAACGTAAATACGAAGTTTTATTTGATATTTAAGTATAATCTTACCATAGAAGTTAATCATAGATAGCTACAAATAAAAAAAAAAAAAACAAGTATTCGAATTATTACACTTTCTAACTATGGTTATTGAAATTTTTTTAACATCATTTATCAAACTAATTAAAAATTATATAAATTAATTCATATTGAATAATATCTTAATTCTCTCATAAATTTTGATGGATTATTTTTTATATAACTAAAAAAGTAAATCGTTAAACCGTTTAATTGTTTATAACTATATTGCTGAAAAATATTCCAACTCATATTTAATTATTAATATGATTTTGTTTTAAAATAATTTTTTATAAATTTAAAGTATAACTATAGAATTAATTACAATTTTAACTAATTAACTTGTTTAATTTTATTTTTTAGAAAATAACATGTGCTGCACTCTATGCTATATAAAAAATTGTAGCTAAAGTATTATCGAATGCAACGCCATCTTCTTCTGAGTTTTTGAATCATAGAGCAAAGAATTACATCAAGACAGAGAACTCTGGACAATAAAATAGACTCAATGCTACGAATAAAATGTTATAATATTTTTTATTATAGTCCTTTAACTATAAACTTCCTTTGGCTTATAACATACACAAATATTTAGGAAATTTAAAAACTATTACATCAATTTATTTATTTTAGCTTCGATGCGAAGCGGAGAAGGTATTAATTTTACTATGATGTGTTTTTTTTTTTTTTTTTTTTTTTTTTTTTTTTTTTT